TTTTTTTCCAACTACTCAGTTTGTCTAATAAAAGATATCACATCTACTCAAAGAACCTTGCCTCTACAGTAGCTGTAATTCAAGGTAGAAAAGAAGTTGTCTGTGGAAAAAGGAAATAGACTGGAAAAAACTTTTACAAGATATATGCATGACTTTTGCTCCCCCTGGTGTTTCAGTTTTGTGCTGCAGAAAATACTAGTAAAATCATTATACAGTATGTAGAGCATATAAAACTGTTATGTTTGGGTTAATAGCATGTCTTCTTCTTTAAAAAAATAAATAATCTGCTGTACATTTTCTGAAACTCATATTAAAAGGAAATTCAGAGTTATAAGTAGGTCAACCATTTTCACAGCAAGAATTATTTTCATTGTCATGCATATAGCACTGCATTTCATTTAGGATATTATGGAATCTTATATATATCACATTTATTTTGGTGTTGGCAGCACTATTTTTAATACTGTCTTCCACTAGCAAACTCTTACCTCATCATCATCCATTAAATGTTGCTTTGCAAATTCATACATTTCCATCTGAAGTGTGGTTATGTTGTAATATCTAACTGCATCCTATTAAAAAAGAATATGTATTATATTAAGGCAATAAGACATTGAGAATTTTTGTTCTGAAGCTTTCCCAAGTTATCAGATATCATCTTTGCCTATTCAAAAAAAGCCAACTGTAGACTCAGCATTCTGAGTTGATTTTAAGACTATCCCATGAGGAAGAACACACCTGTAAAAGGAAGATGGCAACAAAAACAGACCATACAATATTTTCTTCAGATTGTACCTTGTCATGCTGAAAACAGATCTAATCTTTCTGGTATTTCAAAAACAGCCTATCTGGGAATAAAGGTAGGAGAGCCCTAATGCAGCAGCTATAAGGTCAGACTACCTGTGGTGTTAGCACAGATGTTCATGCGCTGTGGTCTCCTTCTGCACTAGCTGCAGAAAAGGGATAACGCCTGTCTGGGGCTGAGTATATGGCATGTAAAGTCAGTCTACAGTCTGGTTTTGCATGGTCCTCTTTTCAATGCTCTGAGCGGATCACCACCACCTGGCTTACAGCAAACAGCTAAAACTTTTCTTGGTATTACTATATACAGTACTGTCTGAAGGATGAACATAGCCCCTGGGGGCCCTATCCCCTGCAACCCCTAGTGGATTTCCAGATGCAAGTTAAGGTGCCAGTTTTGATCTATAAAGCCCTAAATGGCCTGTGACCTACATGCCTAAGGGACTGCCTTCTCCCATATGTTTCACTGCAATCCCTAAGGTCAACCAAGAGGAATTTCTTGCAAGTAGCATAAGAATACTAAGTCTGCTTAGCAAAAAAGTGTAGGAAGTTCTCACCAGTTGTTCCTTAGTTCTGAAACTCCCTCCCTTTTGTTGGGAACTACGGTGTATAAAATCACTTAAATAAACAAACAAACTGCTTGGGGGGCAAAACAGATCATCTGTGGGATTATGATGTGATTTGCTGGGCAGTGCCTGCCCTTGCCCCTGCCCCAGGTCCAGCCCCACTCCTTCCCTCACCGTGGGGGCCTCAAAAACAAGCATATTTTACTCATCTCTCGAGGAGCAAAGTATCAGCAAATACAGCTGGGCGCATTTAAAATATTATACATGCACAGGTAAATTAGCTGTAGTCCTTAAACTTCTGGACAGTTGTCTATGAATCCTTCTGTTTCACAGCACGGAGACCTTACTCTCAGTTCTCTTACTGCACATGCCAAATACATTTTCAAATGACTGAACTTTGCATTTGTGGTTACTGCAAAACTCTGCTCTCTACAGGCCCTTGAGATACATTTAAGACCAAGCCAAGTTTAAGGTTCTATTTGGAAAAAGTTACCATATAATGTATTTTCCTGTGACCCAGATATTTTCCCTCAAAACCAGTTGGGGAAAATTGGGGGATGCATTATGTGAGGAAAAGGACTCGTCATGGGGATAGAAATTTGATGGGGGAGGGACAGAGCACTGGTAGTGTTAATTACTATCAAACTGGGAGCCATAACAATTAACATTGCTACTGCCATTGTTCCTTTCCATCACCCCCTCTCTCCTACAGCCTAATTTTCAGACTCGTGAGGAGCGCCCCATCCCATCCATACACCCCACATGTGGGGTGATCCATGGTCAGACCCAGCACATAGCCCTGGACCTGGCATGCCAGATCTGACCCTGTGCACTGGCTTTGGAGCCATGTGCCAGATTGGTGCCTGGTACACTGAGTCCAGTGCTGGCTGGACCAGCAGGCAGCCTCGGATCTGCTGTGTTAGATAGGCCCTGTTGCATGGTCCCAGATTTGCTAAGTCAGATTGGGCTGTGGGCCCCAACCAGGACACGGGGCTGGCAACAGACTCAGGAGCGGGCTCACTCTCTGGTGGCCGCAGCTCAGATGGCATTGGTCAGACATTTTTTGTCATGGTACCTTTAAAAAAACCACGGTGTGAGTTATATTCAGAGGTGCATTGTATGCATGAAAATGTGGTAAAAATGACATCTATGGGGGCAGATGTAAGCTCAGACTGGCATCTGCTGACTGTCATGATAAAATGCATTTTTACTGCATTTTACTTGAGTTCCCTGGGCTGTACTGGCTTTGCAGGGCCAACAGTCTTTGCTGTAAAGACAACTCAAATGTTGCATCTAGTTTAACCTCCATCCCCACCCAGGAACCATTAACGCAAATGTGGCAGTGCTTTTAAATACAAATTTGCTAGTCTGAGAGACAGGGTAAACTGAAACTCGGGTAAACACAACCCATCTTTAATGTGGACACTGGCTAGTACCACCCAAATGCTGTTACTCCTGCTGTGCCTTCTCACAATTTCCTCACCTCCTCAGAAGGCACTACACAAGAATTCAGAGTGACTCAACTTACTGCAGTGCATGTATTCCTACAAGTCTTTGTGTTAAATGCAACTGTGTGTAGGACCATCAAAGATGCAGCACCTTCAATGTTACTTCAGTGTCACTGCTTTTACTTGAGCTAAGCTGACTCAACAAAAGTAGTATGAGCTTGGAATGAAGTCATACCTTAATGAGAAAGTAAAATAGCACATTGTATTCTATACTACTCATCAACTGATGTCCAGTCGGTTACATGTGAGCAAACTTGATGATGATCACAGAACTACACAGGGGTAATTAATAATCTAATCTGCCTTTAGAATCTTAGTGCTGGCAGAAACAAACTAGTAAGAAACTAGTTTGATTCTTAGATTCAGCCTGAGTTGGATGGGCAGGCAAAAATTAAAAAGAAAAAACCAAACAAGAGCAAAAACAAACTTTAACTTGTAAACTGAACTTATTGCATCCATTCAACATCTCTCTACATTTGATATGGCAGAAACTAAGAGCTCAGAACCCTACCATGACACTTCTGCATACGTACTTTTCAAAGTACACACACATTTTCTTGATTTCTTGCTGCACTGATTTGTAACATGGCTCAGGCAGTCTCTGTTAAAAGAATAACTCTTTTTTTAAAGAAAGAATTCTAGCTTATATGAGTAGGTACAATATAGCCAGGGTCATCCCTAGGGGGTGCAAATCGGGGTGACTGCCCTGGGCCCCGCAGAGCTGGGTGGAGTGGCTGCAGCGACTCTGCACTGCCGCTGGCTCTGAATCCATCCACTTGTTACTTCCCCACCACCACCGCCACTGCCACAGCAGTGGCAGCTTCTTCGAGTCCAGGGTGCATGGGATGAGAGTGGGAGCGGGGCCCCACATGGGCTGATTTGCCTCAGGCCCCGCCCTCTGCTTGGGTTGGCTCTGAATACAGCACATGCACCTACTCACTCTGACTGAAAATTAAAAAACCCCCCAAAAACCCCAAAAAACTTTTTAACATGATTTGTCCCTATCTACAATAGCTAAACTGAGTTCTAAGCTAGTGTAAAAACTAGGGGTGAATCAATAAAGATTTTTTGGGCCAATACTGATGGCCAATTATTGATCAGCCATAAAGGCCAATACTGACCTGATTGCCAATATGCAGCCTGGCAGCTTGGAGAGCAGTGTGCAGCTGGTAAGTCTGCTGGGGGGGTGGAGTGTGGGGGGGAGCATCTTGAGGCCCCTGTGGTGATGGAGGGAGTGGGACTGGGGCTGGGGCAGATGCTGCCCAGCCAGGGTGGGGTGGGGCATGGGACAGA